AGACCGCACGACTGCTCACCCTCCACGTGTTTCGTTTGCACGGGATCCCGGAGGACATAGTTTCTGACAGAGGTCCCCAGTTCACATCTGGCATCTGGAAGGTCAGTCTGACCTCCAGTTACCATCCCCAAAGCAACGGTCAGTGTGAGCGAGCTAACCAAGAGTTCAAGGCAGTGTTGCGGTGCATACCGTCCTCTAACCAGTCTATCTGGAATGACGAACTACCCTGGATTGAGTATGCCCATAACAGTCTAACTTCCTCCGCCACCGGTCGGTCTCCCTTCGAGGTCTCACTGGGTTTCCAGCCGCCTCTCTTCCCCTCTGTCGAGGGTGAGCATTCTGTACCGTCTGTCCAGGCCCATCCACGTAGGTGCCGACGAGCTTGGCGGGCCGCACGGACGGCGTTGCTGCGTACCAAGGACCGAACCAAACAGATCGCAGATCGCCGCCGCACACCAGCTCCAGCATACAGCGTGGGACAAAAGGTATGGCTGTCCACGCGCTTTGTTCCACTCAGGACTGAGTCCAAGAAACTCAGTCCAAACTTCATCAGTCCGTTTGAGGTTTCGGCACTGGTTAACCCCGTCTCTGTGAAACTCCTGCTGCCGCGCAACATGAGGATTCACAATGTGTTCCACGTCTCCCAAATCAAGCCTGTCCGGAGTAGCCCTCTGTGCCCTCCTTCCGGGCCCCCGCCCGGCTTGTGGACGGCTTGCCCGCCTATTCCATCACGCGGATTATGGACTCTCGCCGCCGCGGGCGTGGCTTCCAGTACCTGGTGGACTGGGAGGGCTATGGCATTGAGGAGCGGTCCTGGGTTCCGCGGGCCGCTGTCCTGGACAAGCGTATGCTGCGGGCCTTCCATCAGTCTCATCCTGGTAAGCCTGGTGGGTCGCCGGGGGGCTCCCGTTGAGGGGGGGGGGGGGGGGGGGGGGGTACTGTCATGGTCCCTGTGCCCCGCTGGTCGATCCTCTATTGGGCAATATGTTTGTGGTTTGTTTGCTCTCTCTCTCTCTCGCCGCGGTGATGCTCATTGCGGGCTCCCGCTGCTGGCCCACACACCTGCTCATCACCGCACCGGCCGCTGATCCCAGCTGATTACTGCACTACTTAGATGGCAAGTCTGCACTAGTCTGGATCGTTGAGCTATCAGTGTCAGTTAAACTTGTGTATCTGCCAACCTGTATTTTGAAAATCTCTTGTAATTATCCCGCTAACCCGACATTTTGTGTTTAGATCGTTTTTTGGAACCCGATGCTGAGAGGAGTGATTGAGGAGGAACATTTGTACAGAAAGTGTGGAGCACCCTTCTCCCAACCCTGTTTCCCACAGACCCTAGCGACCCGGACCCGTTTCCCCTGCACATTGTATATAGCCACTTGGTGAATGTGTTCACTGTAAATAAACACACTGTTCTTCGCTTAAAGGAATACCCTGGCCTGCACCTGAGTCTCTTTCGGAAACCCTATCAAAGGGATAGTATTTTTAAGGAACTGAAATGTAAGTCTGTCATAAGAGAAGAAGGGAATGAATAAAGTGAACTGGATGTATGTTAAATTAACTAGAAACTTATAAGGTACTAAGGTATAAACACCTAAAGAAGATACTCTCAAATGGGAACACTAAGTCTTGAGTACCTAAGTAAAAGTCTTCAGACTCTGTTTGTTTTTCTTTTCCCCATTGAAGTGACCCAAATGCTTAAGCAAATTAACATTTATACACCAATAAAAGTAGGATGTTTAACTACTCACACTGTAAAACATAAGCAAGTCCAAACATAACCATAATAATGTTTGCCAAATATTGGTACAACTAACTTGGAGGTATGAAAGTTTTATAGAAAATTTAAAGAGGATATTATTGGTTGTAAACATATTACCTAATGAACCTGAGGTATTTCAAGCAAAAACAAAAAACAAAACAATATAGAAGTGCCTCAAAATTATTAAATATTGAACAGTAACATTGGGAGCCTGAGGTAGTTGAAATACCTGTTAATGTTAGGTAACTTACAGAGTGAAGTTAAAGTATTTCAGTCATCTTGCTGATCTGTTAATAACCTCTTATTCATGCAGTGTGTCTTACACAATCAATGATGGCCACAAGACCAATCCATTTGGTCTTCTTTCCCTCATCACGGGCTTGTTTGACAGTTGGCCGTAGTTTATTTCTGCACTGTCTCTCCATGTAGGTGAGATCTTCAGCCAACCTGAGATTCTTCTTCTTCATCACATCAGAGTTGAGGGAAGCTCTCGACACTTTGTGTCAGAAGGTGCGCATGGTGAACTGTATGATGATGGGGTGTGAGCGGTTTTCATCTCTTGTTCGACCAACTCTGAACAGTATCTATCATGAACTTGAATTTGTTTTTTTCCTCTGGGATGATCAGGGCGATTATATCCATCTCCTCTTTTCTTATATCTTCGTTACTATGCTCTGGGAGATTCAGCAAACGCAGGTTCCACCGCCGACTATATCTCTCTGTCTCCTCTTGTTTCTTTTGAAGTGCAGCAATGCGATCTTTTAGCTTCTTCACAGTAACCTCTGTCTCTTTGATCTGTATTTCAAGACCTTTCACATGATCCCGCACGGCAATAATCTCCACCGTGTTTTTGTTCACCATTTGTTCGAATTTGGAGAATCTGTCATTCAGCCCATTAATAGCTTTCAATATGACGACATTGGATACAGCTTCCTCTCTCACCTCATGCGCTTCAATGCGGCTCTTCTTTGGGTTGGGGCTGTTAAGAGGGGTCTGAGGGAGAGGTTTGCATAAGCTTCCCAAGGTTTTATCTGGCTCCAAGTCCATTATCAGTCCTTCCTTTCTTCTTGCCTCTTTTTTGGTCATTTTGCAAGCTTATCCCGTGGCTTTTAGCTAAATGTTTCTATACAAGCTAACATTTCACTGTGTCGGAATTCGGCAGGGGAAAAAAAAAGAAACTCAGTTCGGCCTGATTTTATGTTATAAAGATGTCCTGTACGTGTGCAAAACACAAGTGCAATGAGTCACTTCTAATAAAGGAATTATCTGAGTCCGTTTAGATCATTTAAAACCTTAGGTACTCATCAGAAATTCACGAGCTTACAGATAAGAGTCCACACAGGTCGCCATCTTGGCTCCGGACCCATAAACTAATGTAAGTCTAACAACTGCAACCAACCACGTGACGTCATGTTCCGTACTGACAGAAGATGGCGCTAAACATGTTTTTAAAACTTTAAGCACTTATTTCTTAAATCCAGCTTCACAGTTACATCTATGTCAGTGTTTGAGGGCTCAGTGTGTAAATTAGCCTTTATATGTCCAGCTTTCATGTCCTCTTAAAGGTCCAGCTGCTGTATTTCACAGACACTGAAAAGAAAGAGCTAACTTCACTCGGAGATGGAGAAATCCCACTTTAACTTATTTATTGCTCATCTTCTGTTCAGAGTAAAAGTTTCCCTCCACAATGGAGGCAACAGAAAATAGAGGTTTTTTTTATTTTTCTTCTTTTTGTCGCTCAATCTCTACTTAAGTAATTCAAGCTAATTACATTAAAATTTACACTGAACTAATGTTTGTATTCCCATTTACTGATATTATTTCATTATTAGTTAGCTTTGCACAAAAATAGCTGGTAGAAACGTCCAAAGAGCCTCCAAAGAGCTACTTTTACTTTCTTACTCTGAGTACATTTCAGAGACTGTACATTTTCATTTTTACTTGTAAAGAAATTAAATCAGTTGTTCAACTGTTACTGAGTATGTTTTAACTCTAGTGTTTGTATTTCTACTTAAGGACAGAATGTCTGGACCTTGTCACCACTGGTGTCATTAGGATGAAGATTTGTGTCAGTCTGTGAGATTGTACTCTTAATGTTTATATTATCAATGATAATTATGTGAAGGTGCATTTCGAGGTTTGTTATGGAGTAACACAAAACTAATACAACACAGTGTAATGGATTACTTACTCCAGGTAATAAATAATGTAACACATTACTTTAAAGTGTAACGGGAATTAAAGCATGAGCACAACACTGATTAAAGCCACAATCAATAAATCTGCACATATGAGATAAAACACAATGATGCGATAGAAAAACTTGTTTGTCATTCTTGGGTTGTATTTTTAAATCAATATGGGTTTTTTTTTATTAATGAGCACGCCTATTGTCTTTGTTGGTGATGTGTGTTGTCATCAACCAAAGTCCAGGAAAAGCTTGATTATATAAAATAATTTCATCAGTAGCAACATTTTTACTAAAACAGAGACTGTGGTGACATTACTGAAGTAGTAATCTGATAATGATAAATGAAAACACACTGTTTTCACATTATTTCTGCTTCATTCCTTTAATATCAAAAGAGAACTAGTAAATGCACATAATGTCTGTGTGGTAACTGTGTGCAGTTTTTTTTCTTTTTCTGTTGAGGATTATTTCAGCTAGTTTTATTGTGAAATCCTGATTAGTATTTAATTTCATTTTTGAAAAACAGTAAACATTTTGATATTTAACTTATTTGTGTTTATCTACTCACACATGAAGTCTTATTCTTAGTTTTGGGAGAAGAGCTGCTGGTATTTTCTTTCTCTCTCTCTGTCTTTCTCAGAGGAACGTCAGCACCTTCCCCGTCAGTCTGATCCTCTGGGCTTCTGTCGGTCTCTTTTTGAAGTTAAAATTAAATGAGAAGGAGATGCCAAAACTTGGCTTAAAATATTAAACGTCTCATAAGAGTCTCTATGAAAACATTGATTTATAGTAGCGAAAAATAATAATTAATCAGTGACTTACTCATCACGTGTTTCCGCTTTCTACGTAAAAGAACAACAGCTGATAAAATTAACATCATGATGCATAGAGCCAAGCTAACAGCCAAACCGATGGTGACAGCTGAAGAACTGGACGGGATCTCAAAGAAATCTTCTAAAATCATTTAAAAAAAAAAACATTTCAAGAAAACTGTAGTTCAGATGTTCAAATTCTTCCTTATCATAAATTTAATAATATAATTTAAACCTGGAACATGTATGTGTGTCTCTCTGCTCTGGTTGGTGTTCCTCTGTTGGACTCTGCAGGTGATGTTGTTGCTGTGTCTCTTCTCCACAGTCACTCTGCTGCTGACAGTATAGAGGTTATCAGGACCTCTGAGGGTCTCTGTAGGTCCAGCAGAGAGGAGGTTTCCCTCACCGTCCAACCACAGCAGCTCAGGCTCTGGATACCAGCCTGCAGACTCACACTGTAAAACCACTCCTCCTCTATTTTCGCCACTTCCCGATAAACTGATGAGAAGTGACCTGGCAGCATGTGATGCTGAGTAAAATGAAGAGTTTAGAAAAGTTCTTAGTGGGTGAAAAAACACATATTATGGACAGTAATTCAAAATATATAAACATTTCTGGGATAAAATCTTTCCTCTTCCTGCAAAACTTTTAATTTTCACTGTAACTAAATCCACTACTCCGTGAACATGTGACGTGTATCTACTTACCAACCACAAGCTTAACAAAATAATTTTTCCCCATCATAGGAATGTGACATTCATATGTTCCTTTATCAGAGAGTTTTTCTCTGGAGAGTTTCAGTGAAATGTTTCCACGCTTCAGTTCATTGATGAACAGTGATGATCTTCCCCTGTATGAAGGATTTCTTGTATTCACCAGATCCTGACCGGATCGCCACACATGGACAAATCTTGGGTTCAAGTCAGATCTTGTCCACTCCAATATCTCAGCTGTCACATCCTCTGCAGGTTCCACGTGACACGGTAAAATAACATCATCATCAACTAATGCAACTATTGGCTGATGTGGACCAACCACCTGAGACTCCGCTGTAGACAGGAGGAAAAAGAAAGAAAGAAAGAAAGAAAGAAAGAAAGAAAGAAAGAAAGAAAGAAAGAAAGAAAGAAAGAAAGAAAGAAAGATGTGTTTATTAATTTCTGCAGCCAGTTTGAATGCATATATATAGTTAAAGATGACACTCAGCATTATTTTTCTTTCTCGTTTTAAAATTTTTGATGAAGATGAAAATGTCAAAAACTTATGTTTCACTAAAGAATTAAATAATTAAATAAACACTTGCAGGCAGGCAACAAATCATAAAAATCAAACTATTAACTACTCTTTGTACCAAATGTAACATATTTGCACTATTTTGTTTATATGCACTGTAATAAAAAATACTACGCATGTAACATCAAACTTACCTCGATTTAAGTGTATCAGAAGTTGGGAAATCAAAATACCAAAGACTGTGCATGGAGAAAGGGAAAGTCCATCTATCTGTGGAAGCATCCTTCTCTGAAAATACATCAAAATAAATACAAGTGTGGCCATAAGAGGTCATTAAAATCAACTTATTCAAGACTAAAAACATATTTTACATGTTACATGTTTTAATATGTCAAGTACTGTCATGAGGCCTTCAACATGCACTTAGCACTATAACTTTCCATTAACTCCAGAGTTAAGGCAGCAGACATTTTGTTACTGATTAAAGTGAACACATTACTTCACATTACTTCACATTAGTGCTAAATTGCAGCCTGGAGAATAACCTTTGGTCAGTGTCATCTTTAGCTTTGAGATGAACTCTGTCTGCTGCTGATTGTTTTGATTGTGTAATGGGCCTCAAAGAAAGCTTAGCTATCAGATAATAAGGTTTCATAAATAGGTACTGTATTGATCCACAAGGGAAATTGGTTTGTTACACCAGCAGGATAAAGAATAAAAATAGTGCAATATGCAATAAACAACAAATAAATACAAAGTGGTCGGATCAAAATCTGTGTTTATAGATTACAAGTTCAGAGTTGGATAACCATATCTGATGTTTGCACATGTTCTCCTTTATTTCAAAAGATATCCATAATAAAAGTATTTTAAATTTTATTATTTATTGTTTTCCATCTCATAATTTTCAGCACATGGACAAAAGCTGGCCTCACCATAAAATGCATAAAATGGCCGTTTATGAAAAGTTGGAATCACAACTGGTAAACTTCAGCCAACAGAGACAGTTTGCTGTGAGTGTAGACTGCAAATTGACTTTTTAGCTGCTTGACTGTGCACAGCTGTTGTAAATTAGTTACATATAAAAGATTTACAATGTTTTAATGTCTTTGGTTTTCTTTATATAAAGTAGAAAAACAGAAGAAAAAAGTACTTAGAAGAATAACTCTACACAGACATCTACAGTATACTTTCACTTTCAACACCTTCTTTTCTGCTTTCAAATGAAATTTTTTAAACCTGTGTCATTCGTTTGTAAAACGTTTAATTACATTTACACAGATGTATTTATGTCAGTAAAATAAATTTATACTATAATGAGACTTTATAAGTAGACATCAGAAAAGCGTGTAGAACTTAAAAATACACAGTTTGAAATATACTTACTCGTGGAAAGTTGTGTGAGCCTACAAGGGTGACGTTTGAAAATCATTAACCTGCTGGCCTTACTTTGGCTTATCAACTGCAGATCCCTCATATATGCTCAGAGTTATGCAAAAAATAAACCGTGTTAATCAAAGTGTAATGCTCGAAAAATCCATTTAACATCCATTGTTGATCCTGGTTAGATCAGTTGTACAGTGTGTCAAATGCTGAACTTTGAGCCTGTTATAAAATAATCAAGATGAAACCATATCCGTCTTTGCAGTGTTCAAAAGGGGGAAGAATTCACATGGTAGGTGTTATCTCAGCTATCATAATGAAGGTGGCAGTAGAGGACTAAATGCACACTGATCAGATACTCAGGTTTACCAATGACCAAATGAATCTTTCTTAAGCTTGTATTGAAAAACGGTTCATTACTGAAAGCTTTTCTAAACAGTCCTCTTTGGTGACATCTGGTGGCCAAAAGTATAAAAAGCAGCTTGAATCTAAAACTGGAAATAAACTGTTTCGTTATGATTGTCCACTCTGCAGAGCTGAGTTGCCAGCTTCTGTTTAATTCCATGTGACATTTTTGTGAACTATCAGGGTACTGTTGTGGTGTTTTGAACATGTATTTTTAGGGGTGAAAAAATACATGCTGTGTTTATTTGATTAATAAATGATTTTGATAAATAAATATGTTTAAACATGTGCCGTGCTGTGTTCCCACTTTGCTTGTGACTTTTTTTTTCTTTTTTGTTAATCGATATTAAAATAAAATACATTATATTGTATATTATTATATATAGTCTTATAATAGGTTGGGAGTATGCTTGCGCTGTGAGGTCTTTGCCTCTGATCATGTAATTAACCACAAGCTAAAATCAGGGGAAAATCCTGTTTTGTACATACATTAGCCGCACCTGACTAAAAGCTGCAGGTGTTTCAATGTTGACTTATCATATGTAAGAGAATATGCACAAAGGGAATTGTCAGGAAAGAGATGGCTGTTTGGAGACACACCCCTTTTATTAATATTTTGAAAAACAAGTTATGGGTACATATTTGCATATTTGTAGCGCTACTTTGAAGTTTGTTTTTCGTGCTACTTGTACGGCACTATGTTGCCTGGTGGATGGACATGTGACCAACATACCACTCTTGAACCCCGATACTGTGTGTCTGATCACATGCCCTTCCGCCAGGTAACGTAGTGCCGTACAACAGCGGAACAAACAAAACAAATCATCTTAAGATATGACAAAAATCATGGACAATCCATAGAAAAGCCGCACCTGACTAAAAGCTGCAGGGTTCAAAGCTTGTGCAAAAAGTAGCGGCTTATAGCCCGACAACTACGGTAATAAAATTCATATGTGTAGTGTATTTTTATGTTTGTTTTAGACCTGTCTTGCATACAGTGCCCTGCAATGATATTCAAGGGATATGCTACTTGTAATCAACTCTTCACATTTGTAAACCTCATTTCAGTTGGGTACATACTATGTTACCTTCAACAGCAACTTAAATAGTTGGATGACCTATTGCAGTGTCTAAGAGTAATTCTGAATCACATATTTTAATATACTGTATGTTTGGACCATAAGGCGCACAGGATTATGAGGCGCGCTGTCGATGGATGGGTCTGTTTTCATGCATAAGGCGCACCGGACTATAAGGTGCACTAAGCAAAACAAAACGGTCAGATAAGTCAAGCTTTACTCAACTCATTCTTCTTGCTTCCTCCACTTCCGTACCATTGATTCATTAATGTTGAATTCTCTTGCAGCTGCTCTATTCCCATGTTGTTGCAGTATATTAATGATTAACCTTGTATTGTGGATGGATTATCTCAGTTGTTCTCCTGACTGAAGTTTGGTCCGTTTACAGCATCCTCCCTGCAATCGCATTTGTCCCTGACCATCAGGAAGGGTTCCTGTTAACTTTTATCCAGTGGAAAAAAGTTAGCGTTCATCCTCCAGCTTCACTGTGTTATGCTTTATGTTATGCTAACATAGCTGTGTCATTAGCATTAGGGCTGCTCAATTAATCGAATTTTAATCACGATTACGATCTGGGCTTTCAACGATCATTAAACATGACTGAGCCGATTATTAGCCCTCCCTCATTTATCCACGACACCTTAAAGGCCGGTCTGTGAAAATATTGTCAGGCATAAACCTGTCCGTGGTGCAAAAAAGGTTGGAGACCGCTGATTAACAGGACCCGAGGGAAGCTCGGAAAGCTAAGCAGAAGTTATTTGGAGAGGAGAGAGTGACTGCCATTGGTTGAAAAGAGAAGTAAAAAAAACTTCAGTGGTGTTGCACACTATTTTATATTATTTTTTTAAAGTCATTATTCAATACATTGTTATTGTTAAGCCGGTCAGAGCAGCACGCTCCGTTTTGTGTAACTATTTTTAAATCCCTGTAGAACCTGAACCACATAAGCTAGCGCAATAATTTTTTTTGCATATGAAACCGGAGGAGTTGTACTTACATCTTATGCCATCAGCTTGTCCTCGGTCACGGTTTCCTTCCACATAAAGCTTTGCAAAAAATTGCATAAAAAGCGCTTGCAGCAACAAAAACATAATATTCCAGAAACACGCTTTGCCGATCCGATCAGCTGTTCGTAACACTTCCCACATTGAAACAGACATCAGCGTGAACTATTGCATGTCTGCCATTTCCTGCCCGAAACCGGAAGTGACGTCATTTTCGCGGAAAATTTAGTTTTTTACTTGTAGACCTTAAAAGCCTATACTGGTCATGTTTGACTTTTCTGAATAGTTTCTGGGATGCTTAGAACTCGAATAGCACTGCTGGAAATAGTTTATTTTGATGCACCTGCTGTTTTCTTTGCAAATTTGCATCATAGGATTGTTTTTTCGTTTTTCCTGCAGTATATAAAATTGGTGTATCTCCAAAATAAAACTATGAAGACACTCAAATAAATTTGCTGTTGTTGTAAACTGTTTTTTGCAACTTTTTTGTATTTAAAGTTTTGAGGAATAAACCTCTTAAATTTCTCCAAGTAGAAATATATGTAAAAAACAAAACAAAAACGATTTTCAATTGTTTTGTAATTTATTGCACTTTTTTGCAATTAATGTAGTTACTATGCACTTAATGCATACATATTATTAAAATATGGGCTATAACAGTTGTATTGATGTATAGCAACTTGAAAACACAGACTGGAATATGTTCACCCACACAGACCTGGACCAGTACGCCTCATCTGTACTGGATTTCATCTCCGAAACCACAGACAGTGTCACCACCCAGAAACGGATCACCATGTACCCCAACCAGAAGCCTTGGATGAACCGGGATGTTCGTCTCCTCCTGAAGGCCCGCAACACCGCCTTTAGGTCAGGAGATGCACAGGCCTACAGCACAGCCAGGGGTAATCTAAAGAAGGGCATCAAAAAAGCCAAACACCATTACAAAAAGAAGGTAGAAGAACACTTCTCCAACTCCAACCCCCGACGCATGTGGTAAGGACTCCAGACCATTACAGACTACAGGACCACCAAACCCTCCCCCGCATCCTCTGATGTCTCCTTCCTCAATGAGCTCAACAACTTTTATGCTCGTTTTGAGCGAGGGAACCCCACAACCACAACCAAAGCAGACATGACGCCAGACCACCAACCTCTGACTCTCTCCCCACCGATGTAGGAGCGGTGCTGAGCAGGATCAATGTCCACAAGGCTGCAGGTCCTGATGGCATCCCCGGGCGTGTTCTCAGAGCGTGTTCTGGGGAGCTTGCAGGAGTGCTCACAGACATATTCAATCTGTCCTTGGCCCACGCTGTGGTACCGGCCTGCTTCAAATCCACCTCCATCGTCCCGATACCCAAAAACTCCAACCCATCTTTCCTCAATGACTGCCGCCCAGTAGCACTCACCCCCATCATCACTAAGTGCTTAGAGCAGCTGGTCCTAGCACACGTCAAATCCTGTCTCCCCCCACCCTGGACCCCCACCAATTCGCATACCGCCAGAACAGGAGCACAGAGGATGCAGTCTCCATCGCACTGCACTCTGTCCTCTCACACCTGGACAACAACAACACCTACGCCAGAATGCTGTTTATAGACTTCAGTTCAGCATTCAATACAATCCACCCCTCACAACTCATCAGGAAACTGACAGACCTGGGCATCAGTTCCCTCATCTGCAAATGGTTACTGGACTTCCTGACCAACCGCCCCCAACATGTCCGGCTGGATAACCACTGCTCATCTACCATCACAATGAACACCGGTGTACCACAAGGCTGTGTGATGAGCCATTTCCTCTACTCCCTCTTCACCCACGACTGCAGACCTGCTGATGGTTCCAACACCATCATTAAGTTTGCAGATGACACCACGGTGATTGGCCTCATCAGTGACAACGATGAGGCCGCCTACAGGGAGGAGGTGGATCGTCTGGCTGAGTGGTGCGACACAAACAACCTGCTGCTTAACACCGAGAAGACCAAGGAGCTCATCGTGGACTACAGGAGGAATGCTGACCCACATCCACCCATCCACATTAAGGGGACGGCTGTGGAGCGTGTGAGCAGCTTCAAGTTCCTGGGAGTCCACATCTCCGAGGATCTCACCTGGACGACCAACTGCTCCAAGCTGGTCAAGAAGGCTCACCAGCGCCTCTTCTTCTTGAGGACTCTGAGGAAGAACCACCTGTCCTCAGACATCCTGGTGAACTTCTATCGTTGCACCATCGAGAGCATCCTGACCAACTGTATAACAGTCTGGTACGGGAACTGCTCTGCCTCGGACCGGAAGGCATTGCAGAGGGTCGTGAAAACTGCCCAGCGCATCGCCGGAGCACCACTTCCTGCCATAAAAGACATCTACAGGAAGCGGTGTCTGAAAAGGGCTGGGAAAATCATCAAAGACCCCAGTCACCCATCACATGGACTCTTCACCCTCCTGCCCTCTGGGAGGCGCCACAGGAGCCTCCGGACTAAGACCACCAGGTACCGGAACAGCTTCTTCCCCACAGCTGTCAGACTCCTGAACTCTGCCTCCTGACATCTGACCCAAGTTAAACTCATGGACTGAACATACACACCCCCACAATGGACAACTGTACCCTCAAACACACAATAATAACATGGAGTGAACCACCACTCACAACCACTAGCACTTTATATAGCCTCTGTAGAAACTATCTACACCCTCACTTATCTTAACTGCACTACTGTATAGCTCTGTGTAAATAATCATTCTGTACATTCAATAATCTTTAATCCTACAACTGTTTACAACTTGCATAGTTCCCATTTCTGTATAACTGTATATCTCAGATTTCTGTAAAGTTATTTATTTCATATTCTGTATAGTTTTTCATATTTATATCCTGTTCATATCCTGTTCATAGCTTGTACTCACTACAGCCTGTACATACTTAGTTATAGAATATTCACTACATACTTCATACCATGTACATTATAACATAATAGACCCATTTCTGTAATATACTTACATATCTATACTATTGCTAATATATATTGTAATATACCTATATCACTAAAGCACTTCTGGATGGATGCAAACTGCATTTCGTTGCCCTGTACCTGTGCATGTGCAATGACAATAAAGTTGAATTCTATTCTAATTCTAAATGGCACTACAACATGTAAAAAAATAATATAAGCTCTGGCGGACTTGGTTCTATAGTAGGTCTTAAAGGGTTAAATAAATATCGTCAAATAATCGAGATCTCAATTTCAGTGAAAATAATCGTCATTATCATTTTTGCCATAATCGAGCAGCCCTACTAGCGATCACATAGCACATCATTATATACCAGCTAGTCCAACTTCAGTAACCGTACAAAAGTCACTGCTGTCTAGTTTTCTGTCTTCATTTATGTTGTAAGTGATAGCAGAGCTGTACGTTTTAATTTCTTCAGAAATCTCAGTCAGAACATGCTATATTGTGTTTAGGTGGAAACTAGCAAGCTAACCTCCTGCTAACTTCTAACTCTGCTAAATTTAATAAATTCTGTTTTCATGGATGCCTGGATGTTAAACTGAATTGTTACAGCTGGAAAAGCAGCAACGCTGATCATTTTATTGAAGATGAAAGAATTAGGACAGTTTTTTAACTCTCAGTGATGCTGCAGTGTTCGTTTGACTTTGGGACCTGAAGCGGACTGAGTTTTGGACCCAAATTACTCAGAGTCCGCCAGGCTCCTGACTATGGTAGCCGTAATGCTCCGACAATCCATCAAGCAGTGTGGCTTTGTAGCTTACCAAAGTCGTACTAAAACATTTTTTGACAGATTTTTGAGCGCCATGTACCACATAAAATCAGTTCAAGGTCAGTAAGCACAACCAGAATTCATATACAAGGCGCACTGGATTATAAAGCGCATTGTCGATTTTTGAGAAAATTAAAGGATTTAATAGTTTTTTAATAGTGTGCCTTATAGTGCGGAAAATACGATAATACACCAATTTAAGGGTTGAGTCTTGAGTTATCAAATCTGAGGTAAAGGCTTAATCATCTTGACCAAATTTTTCAAAATAAGTTGTTTAACAATTTGGGAGGAAGAAGAAGAAACATGCACAACATTGTTTCAGTCTCTTAAGCACATAGTAGAAGTCCACCAAATCAACAAACACGTAAAGTAAAGTAGCATTATTCAATAAAGAAAGTGGAAAATCACACTGTCACGACACACACAAGAAGCAAACTGGTAGAGAGCTCCTTTTACATTAAAAATTTTTTTATTCTACCAGCCCTTTCGTTATCGTGCAGACTCAGCACAGAGCATCATCACTTATCCTAAAGCCAAGAGTGGAAAAGAGATTTGTAGTCTTTCACATTAACATACAGTAAAAGCAGCCATCATGTTTAAGCCATGTTCAGAGCGATATGAATCCTGCCAAACGCTGCAGTTCATAATAAAATAATTTATGGCTTTCCTCTGCTAATCTAGTAATGCTTAAAATAATTCTGCTGGTGACACATGTTCAAAATAGCTTTACCTGAAAAGGGGGAGAGTAAGTTAGAGAGGTTAAAAAAACATTTTACAAGGATTCTGATTAATCTGTTAACATCTTGTGCTGTTTCTAATTTTCAGGTGCAGCTATTCTTCATGTCTCCTAACAGACTCCAACACTTTCAATATCTAAGTCTTTATCTTTTGATTGTGAGAGCTCTGGTGGTTCTACTGAACTGAGAGGAGTCAGAACCACTGAGGAAAAGTTAGAACATATTAGTCCAGTACGTAACAGTAAAAGAACTTTGTCTTCATGCACATTTTTCAAACTTATGTAACAGACAGCGCAGAGTACTGGTGTGAGGTTAACGGGGGTCAGAAAAGCAGCAGTGTCAACATTATCACAACTGGTAAGTTTATCATATTTGTGAAATTAGTAAATAGTTTTATTTTAAAATGTGAGACTTCATATACACACACTGGATACACATTGTGTATTTGTCATTTAGGCTTTTTTTTAAAAACTATAAACACTGAGCATGACGAACACAGAGATGGTTTCACTTTAACACATTGTCAATGGAAAATTGTACTTAGTAGTCAGTATAATCTTTTAGTGATATAAGTTCGCATATGGTAGAATACTGCATGTAGTTATTTGTATTAGGAAATATTTAACCATGTATGCTTAGAGGCATATAATCAATTGTGTAGTGACAGGATGTGTGATCTCTAGCAGGCTGCAAAAGGCTTGGTGTGCACTCCAGGAATGCACCCCCACGTCCTGGGAGCATGAGAGAGGTCGTACTTTGTTTTATTGTTTTAACGTAGCTATGTCTGTTTTAGTTTAAGTGCTTCTTTACGTATAGATGAACTGCTGGACTTCCTCACCATGTTATCTAGGGTGAAACATCTAGGGTGAGGGGGAGACTACCCTCTTCCTGACCAAGGATGTTTCCTTTTGTGTTTTCATGTTATATGACCCTTTGATCAGCAGGACCACACACACACACACACACACACACACACACACACACACACACACACACACACACACACACACACACACTGAAGTATAAATAAAGACCAGGGCAGTTTCTTAGCGTGAGCCTCAGTGCTGGAGGCTGCCCTTGCTAGCAAGAAGTTCTGTGTGTTTCTCTTCTCTGAGTCTTTACTGAAGAAGTGTTTTAGAGTATATTTCTTAACACACATACTGCATCAGATCAGTACAGATCATGTGTAAAGAGGAGCTCAAAATGGTTTCAGCAGTTTCTTATTAGCTTCAACAAAGAGCTCATGTTTTGGTAGGATTGGCATTTCATTCTGTCTGTAAACACAACAGCTCTAAAAGTTTTCGTATTCTGATAAAACTCTGTAGGGTGTAGAGCAGGATCATGTTATAACTATTCATTAAAATCTGGCTTAAATTCACCAAGGTCTTCAAGGTAGACTTTATGATTTGTTGGTGGAAAACTGACAAAAAGCCTTAAAACTTGAAACTATGATTCTTAAAAGTGTGCTGTGTAATGTCAACATTTTCAAAACATAAACGTTTTAAAAAAAATCATATCAGATTTGACCTTTGACCTCTCCCTAAATCCAACAGATCAACCCGAAAGTCAAAATAACGATAATGCTATATAGAGCCGATTATATGTCATCATTGGTATACAAATACAGGCCATTTACCATTTACCATTGGTACTGAAAGCATGTAGGGAATGATACATGGGGATTGTCAGTATCAAGTTACTTTGGACCTCTGATGTCTTCTTTAGGGTCAAATAAAGTCAAACTTTCATAAGATGTACTTCATCTATGCTTCAAATTCTGCTGCCTTTATATTGGTGAAATGTTTCGTGATTTTGTTTTGTGCATTGCAGTAACAGGTTACAACACTTAAATAGAAAACAGTACATGTACAATGTTCCTGAACGTTTTTTGAGATAAATTGTTTTTTATCAAACCTTTTTTTCACTTGATGTTTGTTATTTTATTTTTTTATATGAATTTCACTAAAAACCAAATCAGTGCCTCACATATACTATATCCACATAAGTGGAAAATAATCATACTCAAAATTATGTCACGTATGTAAGATTAGTTTTAAAACACTTAAAAATTCACTCATCCATCTTTTGCAAACAGTTTGTTTGGCGCCCTCTGCAGACCTGGAGAACATTTACAGTAAGAACTTTTATTCTTTGACGGAGGTCTCGGGTAGAAAGGACAAGGTAGGAAGTGGGGTGAGAATGAAAGTTTGTAACAGGGATTCCAGTGGATAAGGATCTTGAAAAACTAAAACGGAGCATTCAAGGTTTGGAAGTGAGTCGAGTTAAAAGACTATTAAGATCAGTCAGTGGGGAAAGAGTTGATAGAGTTGATGATATTGAAGTTTCAAGATCTTACCCTCCAGAAAAAGTCAAAATAGGATGCTATGTGTTTCATAGTTAGACCATATATCCGTCCCCCTCTTAGATGCTACAAATGTCAGCAATATGGGCATCTAGCAGCAGATGCAGAGGACAGCAAAGGTGTCCTAGGTGTGGGATAACCATAGGTATGAGGAATATGGGGACAATGCGCAAGATAAATGTTGTAACTGTGGGGAGAGCACAGGGTGACATGTGTGGGATGTGAAGCTAGGAAGAAGACCATTGAGGTTGAGCAGGTTAAAGCAGGTAATAACATGGACTATTCAGAAGCTGTTAAACTGTGTTTCATTGTTCTTGTAACAGTTAGAATAAAGATCTATTCTATTCTATTCTATTCTAAAAGGGTGCAAGTACAGAAAGGAAAAACTGAGATAGGAAGGGTTCAACAGGTATCATCGTCAGGTTTGACTCAGGTAGAGAGAACAGGTATTGCAATCACAGAGGAAAAGATAATGTTATTCAATGCATAAGTATCAGTTGTGCAGATCAAGTAAAATACAACACAGAAAAAATCAAAATGAGTGTGAGCAGAGAAGTGTTTTGGTATGAGAGAAATTTCATAGGAACATATACACAATAGACCAGGGGAGATGGGAAGCCAGGAACATCAGGAGAGAAAATAATGTGATCATTTTGAAATAGAATTCCAGAAGTTTATTAGCAAATGGACAAGAGTTTAAAGGATTCATAAAAAATCTAATAAGACACCTGATATAATTTGTATCCAGTAAACATGGCACAAATCAAATTTAGATTGTAATTTGATTTAATTTGTATTCAAAGTTTATAGCAGTATACATGGAGTTTGGAACGAAGGTAAAGGAGGAAGATGTGTAATTTTTGTAAAATAAAGTATTCAGTATAGAACTCTAGCAAAAGGTATGCAGTTGGAATATATTATGATTGAAACATGGACAAAGAAAGGAAGTGTTAAAGTTGGATACATCCATAAAGTGGTATGTGTGGAGACTTTAATGCTCACAGCACAGTATGGGGTAATTATAAGGATGAGAATGGAAAATGTAACCGAGGAATTCATGGAAAACTAAAATTACTAGGGGTGCAACGATATTTGTATCGGTATTGAACCGTTCGATACAGTGCTTTCGGTTCGGTACGCATATGTATCGAACAATACAACATTTGTAATTTATTTTATCAACTTTGCTTCTGACAATGCTGTCTGTGTTGAGCGCTCAGTGAATCTGCGTTCGACTACTCCGCCTAGGCTGCACTGTCGAGCGCAGATCCACTGAGCGCTCAACACAGACAGCATCATCAGAAGGAAGAGCGCAGGGCAAGCTAGCGAGACAGAAGTTAAGCTCTCCTTGCAACATGGACCTCCCCCACCTCATTCAGATCTGGCGTTTGGAACTATTTTGGTTTCATGTGACGTATGACCCTGAAGGTAAGCGAGTCATGGACTAAAGTAAAACAGTATGTTGGATGTGCCACGCAATGCTCAATTACATGGGTGGGAACTAGTGTGTTAGCGCAGTTACAGTGGGGCAAAAAAGTATTTAGTCAGCCACCGATTGTGCAAGTTCCCCCACCTAAAATGATGACAGAGGTCAGTAATTTGCACCAGAGGTACACTTCAACTGTGAGAGACAGAATGTGAAAAAAAAATCCATGAATTCACATGGTAGGATTTGTAAAGAATTTATTCGTAAAGAATTTCAGTAAAGAATTAAATAAACACATGCAGGCAGGAAACTAATAAAAGCTCCAATAACTCCAGAGTTAAAGCAACAGGTATAAAGTTATCGATTGAAGCAAACCTATTACTTTACATTAGTTCCAAATTGCAGCCTAGAACAAACTTTTGATCAGTGGTATTTCTATTCTTGAAATGACCTCTGTATGACTTTTCATAGACACATACTGTTTTGATCCACAATAGAATAACTCTGCCCAGACCTCTACAGTATGCTTTAACTTTAAAAACTTTATTTTCTGCTCTCCAGTCAAATGTCTAAAATCTTGATGATTCTTTTCTAAAACATTTAATTACATTTAAAAGATTTATGTATGACAGTGAAATAAATTATACTATAATCAGACATCAGAAAAGCATGTAGAACTGTTGCGCTCCTAGCCTAGGCATGTAGAGACGCACATAAGATTTGGGGGGGAGAAGCAAGTACCCGCCCTGGTTCCCAATCCAAACAACCAAACGTGGTTATGAGTTTTAAAAAAAGGTGATTTTATTCAGTGTCAAGAAGCATAGCTCCTGGGTGGACCCAGGCCAAAATAATAAACAAAACCAACTAAGTCCCGCCAGTGAAACACTCACTAAACCCTACACTCAAAAAAATGAAACGTTGACTTTAATTAAAATTATTTTGTCAACAGGTTCCACGAAATTGAATTATGTTAGTTTAAAGCAAAAATCTTTAGTTCATCTAATTTAAAAAAACTACTTAAGATTAACAAGACATATTTAAGACTAACTAAATCAAGTTATGTTGTATGAACAAAGATGATATATTTTCAGGTTAGATAGTTTAGATTAGTTACTTCAACACATTTCTTATTTGTGGCAGTAAAATGTTAAATTTAAGTTAGATTAATTCAAATATTATATTTTCAGCCACCTTGTGCTTTATTAATTAGTTTTACATAAATCTATTTTGTCAACAGGTTCCACACAAATGAATTAAGTACATCCAACTTATTTTTTAAAATTTCTTTTATTGCCAACACATTCAGTGAGCATTTGTGTAAACCCAGTCCAAAATAAAACACAACAGCTCATTAGGGTTAGTAATTAACAGTATGTAGACAGATGCAACATCAAGACTTTAAATTAAATGTCTGTATCTACCAGAAATAGAAGAGAAAAAAAACGCATTGAAGATCACATAACACATTGATAAGATGACACTTGAGTTATGCACATGTGATGCTAGTAAGGTCTGTGAGTGTTTTTTTCTTTTAGTGTCTAAAATGGATAGCAAAGTTGCTATTTGCAATGATTGCTTAGGGTCAGTCCAGTAACACAATGCCAATGAAGTGCTTTCCTTTAACAATGCAAAGTGAAGTGTCCACCTCAACAGCCACAATTTAAAAAAAAAAAAAAAAATGTAACAACAACAACAACAATAATAATAATAATAATAATAATAATAATAATAATAATAATAAATAGTCCACTGATATTAGCAATCAAAGAAAATTACGTCACCATCCCAAATAAAACTTTAACAAAACATGCCAACATTATGGTCTAACAATAAAACAGCTTGTCAGCGTTCAGTTTTTTTGCAACAGCACAGCAGTAACCATTTAACACTCGCCACTGTCAACATTTATTTTACCAGTGTTTGGGCAAAAAACTTCAGATGTAAACATTTTAACATGGAAACAATTGTTCGTCTTTAAAAGTCCACAAAATATACATTCATCCTGCATTCCCAACTTGGATGATCTGATATCCTCGTGTTGGTGTTGTTCCCAGACCATCATGAAAATGTTGTTCCAGGTTCAACATTGCAAGTGACCAATCACATTGTTGTGACGTTATTCTATTCCAAGCCATTCGTGCATTTATGAAATTCCAATGTTGCAAGGACAATATCAATTCTGCTTACTGTTTATTAAAGGGTTACAGTTAGGGTTAGGGTCAGCTGATCGGCGGACAGAGGCGGTTTCACGCAGCTTAAGTACAGTTTTTTGTTTTACGCCGGTTTTTTCCCGAAGTCGCAAAAGTATGACGTCACAACATTCTGATTGGTCACTTGCAATGTTGATCCTGGAACAACATTTAGTATGATGATCTGGGAACAACACCAACACGAGGATATCAGATCAACCTCCTAACTTACCCTTATTTTTAGTATGTATTGCAATTACCTTTACAATGCACACAATGTAACACAAACTGAATATGAACATATTTCTACCTCATAACAATATGCCTTGAACGCTAATATACACACCACCCTTCAACATTTCTGGTGCAGTATCTCTCTCAATTAAATCCTTTAAATCTCAATACTTTTGATTGTCTCTTAGCTTTCAGTCTTGAGGTTAACTGAGATTCAGTGCATATATCCCACCCATTAAGAGTGCACATGCAGAGGCCAGGTCTTCCAGGTCATGCAGGACACACTAGATGGTTATACCCACATCGGCTGGAGGAGTGCTGGCATCAGCTCTTTCGATGGTAAAGATAGCAAGGGTAATTTGTTCCAGCTCCCTCTGAACAGCTGTAGCTTAGACACAAAAACATAGAAAAATGGCATCCAGTTTTAAAAAAAGAAAGAAAAAGGGCCAAAGCTACCCTTTAATGACGTAAACACAATATTAGGAACATGCACCCCAGTGCGCCACTATTTTAGACTACAGATTCAACGATAAATATAAATAGTTTGGGTATACAAGAAGATTTCCCAAAACATTTAAACAGGTTCCATGCAAATTACAACAACATTACAACATGCAACAACATTAGTTATTCAAAATTTGGTTTAATACAGATAAAAAACTAAACTAAAATTACCAACCAATTATTCTTTGAAGAGGATGCTTGGGTCTTCATTCAGGTAAAAAGGTAGTGCCCTGAGGACACACTCCCTCCCCTTTTCAATGGTTTCCTTCTGTAGAGAGTGGCAGAGATACAGGAAGAGAAAACAGATATACTTTAGGATGACAGAAACTCACATTATACGCAAAATGAATGACATATCCACTGCACAGATAGACATGTACACAAGACCAACTAATCATCACATGGACATGAATAGTTAACCTGTTGGGCAGGGTTTCCACCACATTATATATATGTCCATAATGGAGGTAAAGACAAACTAATACATCATCTTTTTTGCATTCAAAACATAACATAAAAACATTCACTTCTGGTTTAACCTAAATCAAGGGATCAGATTTTACATATGTTTAGGTAATTTAAATTTTCCAACGTTTTGAGTACCAAACTTTGTCTTGCTTAATATAAATGTAAGTGCACTGTGCAGCTACCATACACTAGCTGTTTAAATTTGAAAATGATCTTATTAGCCATAATATTTTGCTACCAACAGAATAACGCACCTGTGTGGCTGGGGCCAAAGTTTGTCTAATTTTCTTCCCTGCAACGCCTCCTTTTTTCTTGAAGACTTTTATGAGCTGGTCAGTGTATTGGTCAAGTTGTGTAAAAAGCCTTGGAACATGTGCAGCAGTAGTAATCCTCACATATTCTGCTTCCACCTGAAAATATGTCAACAAACACAACATACTGTACTGTAAATATACATACTATATGTACACATATACAAACTAAAACTAATGTAGTAAGACCTCATTAAAGCTATAATTTTAACACAAACATTTACACAAAATGCTAATGGAGCCATTACAGCTTTTATTGTTATTTATCAAGTTCCAAAAAATATTGATCACAGCTGATCTGAAAAGAATTTCATGCCTCAGGCCCTTGAACTGCAACCTTTACCATGGTTCAGATGTGGAGAAGAAATAACAGGGGCATGGGATGGGTCACAAAAGAAAACTTAACTTATAAAACAGTTTTGTTTTTAAAAGTATAACAGTTCACATACCACATACAAGCTCAGTAATACCACATACACCACATCAGTATAGGAGGGAGCAGGTAAAGGCAGGATCTGAGATTTATAAAGAAAAAAAAAATTAATTCCTTAATTTCAAGAAGCAAATTATTGTTTGAATTACAACTAAATAAAATACTACTCAGAAGAAAAGCAAGAGATTGACACTGCCATGTGCTAACTTTCTATAGAAGCAATTATCACCAGGTCTGTCGACCTCCATTGTCTGTCCACTCATATGTCTTAAATAATTTTATTTAAAAAACGTAAGTGTGTACTTTCACAAACTGTAATTTATAACTACATTGATATGTATAACTCCGCTAGGAAACATGCTGTATTTACAGACCATTTTTACATAATACAGATTACTGATAGAGCAGAACAATGGTGTCACAGTGGCTTTCGCCCTTGACTTTTTGGATTTTAAATGTCACTTTATGCTATCCTTGCTATCCTATTCGATATTTCCGACTCTCGGATTACAGAAAAGGAATCCCAAGAAAGCAAATGGAAAAATAACCCCTTGAAAGAATAACCCCATGAACCCCTGTAGCTAATCCTTAATAAAACAAAAAACAATAAAAATGTTTCTTACACAGTCCACAAAATAAGCATGTCCAGGACCCAGTAAAACTAATGTAAAACAAGCACACGCAAACGATATAACATGTCTTGTAAGACAAACGCAAAATATAACCATGCTGGACATATAGATACTACACAACATAGTCAAAGAAAAAAGTGGTCTTACCTCTCAAAGAAACAGCAGCTTGGCGCCAAAACAGCCTTTTTCAGTTAAATTTGAAGTCTTGCGCATGAGCAGGCACAAGCCGTGAAACCTTCTTGTTCTGCGCGGTTTCATTACAACTGTTTTTGCATTACTGCCACCTTGTGGATATACAAGGTATATCGATCCTCATTGACTTAAATGTTATGCGATCAAGTAACACATTAGTATTATGTACGTTGAATAATAGACACAATTACGTAGACTTGATTAGAAAAACATATGTTAACTTAACAAAAACATATATTTTAAGTAAAATGAAAATAAATAATTAATATACACTGAACAATCCACCTCATTCATTTTTTTGAGTGTAAGAAAGAAACAAAACAAACAAATGACAATGACTATCCCTCGCTTCCTAGACCAGAAACAGGAGAAAACAGTTCAAAACAAAAACGCGGCTCACCGCTTCGCTTCAGCCTATGCACACATAAGCACTGGACTCATATCTACACATTTGGCGGCTCTCAGGGAGCACGCTTCCACATATACAAAATTACACAAAGAATTTTGAAGCCAGGTCTGAGTCTGCTGTCAACCGGTTCACTGTCGCTCGCTTCTCTCTCTCCCGGCAGCTGTCAGAGCGGCTTTTTGAACCCAGTCACATGATCCGTGGTCCAATCAGCAGCTCACTGCTCTTCATTGGAGGAAGGACCTGCAGAGATTCTTAAACACAGTAAAGAAACACAACACAGCAGCTAACACAGATTTCCTATGGCCACAGGCCGTAACAAGAACCTAAAAATAAACAATTTGAAACAGACGAAACAGTGGAAAGTTGTGTGAGACTACAAGGTGTCTGAAAATCCTTAACCTGATGGCGTTAACTTACGTTGGCTTATCAACTGCAGATCCCTCATATATGCTCAGATTTATGGAAAAATAGGCTGTTAAGATTCAAACTTCTTGTTAATCAAAGTATAATGCCGGAAAAATATGAATTTATCAGATTAACACACATTGTTGAATCTGGTTAGATCAGGTATACAGTGTGTCAAATGCTGAACTTTGAGCCTGTTATAAAATAATAGAGCTGAAACCATATCTGTCTTTATGGTGTTCAAAAAGGGGGAAACATTCACATGTGATGTGTTATCTCAGCTATCATACTGAAGGTGGCAGCACAGGACTGATCTTTGAAGTACACACTGATTCTCAGGATTGTTTTATATCATCTGTGTGAAATGCACTTCACACACGTACACACACACACACACACAGATTTCTTTATCGCCAGATGCCACGTTTATTTTTAGTTTTCATTTGTTGTGACAGTCTGAGAGCTCCGGTCTCAGCTGATTCACAGCTTCCCCTCTGCTTAAATAATATTACGTACTGGCAATTATAACTAAAACAATTGTTTGTATATCAGATTTCAAACAAAGTATATGCAACAAAAATATGTCTCTGTCCTGAGACCTAGTGGAGCTCAAAGACAGAGATCTAAAAATTATTTTTATTCATTTTTTGACATAAAATAATTCATCAACTTCTTCAGGTATCAGTGGGGCTGGTGCAGTGTCAGGAGTATGGAGATGGGAGTTGAACAGCTGAGCCTAAAGAAGAGGTTTGATCTGTTTGACCTGGCAGCAGGTTGGCTGATCAGTGATTTCGTAGACTTACAGTATACGTACAAAGGGTCTGCCTGCACCAATTACATGTTTGCTAAAATAACACAACACACATTATTTTCTGTTAGAAGTGAAGAAAAGAACTATCTAATACTAGCAAAGTCAAGCAGTTTCTTTCATGTGGACCTCACTACGAGTTTCATTTCCACCCGTCTCCCTTTCTTTTTAAACTTAGGCTTCTATTATCACTATTAACAGAAGCATCCTACCATCTTACTGCTCAGCATCAGCTAGCAGCACCTGGACCAAACCAAATCATGAAATAAAGAGGGGGAGGCGGGGTCACAGTGACTGGATTTATTGTTTGCTGCAAAAAAACAAAACAAAACTAATGCTAGGAAACAAAACTCTTTCTAAGTACCTCGTGAAGCAACAATAAAAACGACTAATTGAATGTTCACCTGTGTTCTAGATTCCAGTCAGTCACAGGCCCTTAGAATCATCATCACTCAGTGTTTGAATACAAACAAGGCTGAAAAACGGTTATGTTTGATTTGTCATATAGGAAACAGCTAATCACATGTAATAAAAACAATAGAGTATGTGGTTTAAAGAGACTTCACATGTGAGACATAGATGATGCATGCTCAGTCTTTCTTACTCTGACTGAGTGCTCATAGCTGTTTTTACTACAAGTCTCATTGATACAATCACACAGACATTCATAGAGCATTTGGTGTTTAAGCAGTTTAACATTCACTCACACTCTGGTGGATGCATTTGGGCAACATGGCGTTTAATATCTTTCTTAAGGACACTTTGACGTGCAGACTGCAGTAGAGGTCGATATTAATCTTAAACTGCTGTTTGATCTGCAGATTGAATTTAAAGGAAGCGATAAATACTCAAAACCTAAAACAAAGACACAAATATATTGTAACTCATCTGTATGTAAAGCATAGTTTCAGCTGGACTTGTTTTTGCAGTTCATGGTCAGTATCAAACTTCTAACTGCTCTCTTTGTCCTCAGCCTGCTCTCTGGTAGAACCACTGTGAGTCAGGCTTCATCTTATTGAAGTCAAACTGCAGGAAGAGGAAGTTTTCATCTGCAGTACAGAGCAGCTGTATTTCAGGCTCAGACATTCATCTGCAGGACAACATGAAGATTACAGCTGTCGGCTTCACAATGTGTGAGTTCTCTGGTTTTACATATTTCTGTGTACTTGAATAAAACTTTCACAAATTGTTTTAACAGCATTAACACTGGAAACTTATTTAATTACAGTGTTTCTGTCAATCTGGTCGTTGTCATGTTTGTCAGTATGTTCACAGTTTGGATTAAATAAAACTCACTGAAGGTCTGACAGATTAAAATGTCATCATTTATAAATATTTCAGCAGGAGGTCGTGTGCAGAAGTTAATTTGTAACTGAGTTTATATTTGCAGTAACAAACTCTTTGGCTGATAATTTCTTTAATTTTTCAGTGTTACTTGTATTTATTCTGCTGGCCGCACATGTTGAAAACAGGGGTAAACAGCTGAGCAAGTTTCTCTCTTAAATCACACAATTTTGTCAACAAACCTTTGTTTACTACAAAATTGATTGATTGTTCCTTTACTCTATACAGTAACTTCATTTGATGTCTTTCTGGTTAAGATGCTGCGTTTCACATCGTCCCAAAAAGACTGCAGTTCTTTGAGCTGGAGTCTGTCTTCTTTCACTGTGAGGGTCTTGATGGAGCTTCTCAGTTAAAAGGGATCAGAAATACTGAAATACTCATTTCAGTGTGTGATGAGAGCTCACCAACACTACTGTGTGCGATTCATCGAGCCTATGCAACAGACAGCGGCGAATACTGGTGTGAGACTGGAGCAGGAGAGAAAAGCATCAGTGTCAACATCACAATAACTCGTATGTTTAACACTCAAGTGACCGAAATATTTTATTATGACGTCATTTATAACCTGATGGATTTATGTCATTCAGAAACATTTTATAACATAAAAATTTTCTATTGTTATTCGGAACTATAGTATTCTGAACTATTATTAGTATTATTTATTGCAAACAGCATTTAACTTACTTATTTTAATGAATCATAATGATTCCAAATGTTGCCTCAATATTGATGAATCAAGCCACAGTATTTGTTCAGTCTTATGTACCATTAATAAAAATTAACATTAAAATGAGTGACTAACAATGAGTCCAAAACGTCGTTACCATGGCAGCTGTTAACTTAAAAAATTGTTCCACTTATTATTTCAGTGTTTTGCTTGCTTGGTTTGAAATGTTACAGATTTCTGTATCAGATAAAAAGTCTTGTTTTTCAGCTAGAATAAATGATAATTTTAGAGTGTAGCTAAATATAATTAAGTGGAGACAATCAGTTTTCCATTCTGTCATTTAAAGTTAAACCTTGTTTGTTTTACAGCAGATGTATTTTTATCATTGCAGCACTTCACAGAGAGACCTGCTCATCTTCTTGTTCTGCCGTCCAGGTGTTCCTAATGTTGAGGACTATTTTCACCATTGTGATGGTGGTTCTGCTGCTTTTGTTAGTGGGATTACTTCACTTTGGAAAACTCAGTGTTACACAGACATAAATGGTATTTGTATATAAAGATGACTGATGGAGAATGTTCTGGAAGTTTTAACATTTAGATAATAAAACAGTGCAGTAAACTGGACAATTATAAGAGTTACACTATGACGGGTGATTGCAAATATTGTAAAAAATACTTCGACTTCAGGTTTTTTTTACTATATACTTTTTTCCTTTTTTATTGCTTTGACTTTGTTGGTTGCTGTTAAACTTGTCATGCACAGAAGAGTTTAAAACCACAGGCCTGCTGAGCATGTTTAAAGACCTCTCAGTATCTCAGTTTACTCAGCGTGTGATTATTTTAGATGCTGCAGACGCTCCAGTAATTTTAGCTTCTTAGATACAAACCGCATGAGAAAATGTTTGTTCACAGTAGAGTTAAAATACGTCAGCGTGATCATTTCAGTGCCAGCTTGTGGCTTAAAAATTCTACATAAGCCTTGTAGCTGCAAACATGTCAGTGTATCTTCTGCAGCTAAATAGTAAGCATGGCAAGAACAAAAACTTATATATATATTAACATATTTTAAAATAAAATGACCCAATAGAGGGGTGTGGATGTCAGTTACTACTTTCATTTCATTCATTCACCTTTAAATTTGTTAACTGTTTTAAAATAATTGACAAAAATATATATATAAAGACAATCCCAGTGTCATCCGGATCAGCCGATCCAAGCCTCACCTGGTTTTCTCCCACGCTGTCGCCCACCTGTAAGGACATCTGCGGCTCTTCACCTGCTGGAAACTGCCCTTAACTACCTGCCCTCGATCCACAGCTCTCCTGCCTCCCCGCGCTACAAGTAAGGCAAACCCCATTCTCACTGTTTAATCTCTCGTCGTCACAAACCTCGCCATTCACTAATTCCACTCTCTCTCCCATTTCAGGCACTTTGCCCCGTGAAACTCCCGCCGTGAACTTTCACTACTAAACT